AAAAAAAAGAAAAAAAAAAAGAAAAAAGCCCCACCTCCCCCAAGCATTTCTGTAATACCTCTTTTACAGGATAGCAGTTTCTTATTTTAATTTATCTTCTTGTCTCATTTATCAGCCTAGTTGCTGAGTCTGTCTGAAAAGTGTTTGAAAGTAGTTTCTTTAAATTGTTATCTGTAAAGGAAAATTTCTCTTTGGAAGGCAGCAGGATCTAGATGTTGGGTTTTTTTTTAATAAACTTCTAAAAAGTTTTAAAAAGATGTGGTTTCTTAATTCAGTGCTAATACTGAGTGGCTGCATTTCAGACGAGTTTGACAGCTTTTGAAATGTTTCTTAAATATGACTAAGTGATGGTTTTCTGTGCTCTTTCTCCTTTTTGTACAGGTCCTGACCTCTTGGGCGTTGGCTCTTTACTGAAGAAATACACTGCTCTTCTGTGCACGCACATTGGTGATATACTTCCTGTGGCAACCAGCATTGCTTCTACTAGTCACAGGCATTTTGCAGAAGTATCTCGTGTCGTGGATGGAGATTTAACAGGTAGGTTTTTCTTTGCTGTCCTCCTTTCCTCCTCTTCCATAAGATGATAAAGTTTTATATTGTAGATGTTCTTGAGAGTTCTAAATGACTAAAAAAGAGTCAATTTAATCTTTTGATTGATGGGAGAGAAGGAGGGCAAATTTGATGGGGAAGGCAAGAGCTTTGTACTAAAGCAGTAATAGAAGGCAGAATGTATTGCTTGGTGATTTACTGCCGTGATGCTATAAATGTAGGTCTTGAATTAAATCAGAATATCTTCTGTTTTTTCTATGTTTTAGGCATTCTTCTTCCAGAATTGGTGGTTTCTGTAGTGCTGCTCCTCAGTAAAAATGCTGGATTAATGCAGGAAGCTGGTGCTATCCCTCTGTTGGCTGGCTTGCTAGAACATCTAGACAGATTTAACCATTTAGCCCCTGGAAAGGAAAGGGATGACAATGAGGATTTAGCATGGCCAGGAATAATGGGTATGTACTAGTAGCATCTGGACTATTTATTTATGTTTTCATAAAGTAGTTATATAAAAATGGTGACTGTTCATGAACTACTCTCAGGAAGGGAGTTCTACTTTACAGTACAAATCTTTATTAACCAATTCATATGGCAGTATTTATTTCTGTCAGTAAATTCTTAAGGAAGTTAGGTATAGAGGTAGGATTAAGCAGAGTACAAATGCAACTTTCTAAAGAAGTAGTTCACATCATTTTGCATTTTGAGTGTGAAAAGTTGCAGTGAAAACATGAGTAATATATCTATGCATTTTGTTACTAAATTCTATCTAACATAAAGGGAGAGTAACATGAAAGCTTTGAAATAAGGAATTTTTCTTTTCCCAGGGCACTTTATGATATGAGCTGTGTCTGGGGTGAAAAGAGCAGCAGAAAATGTGCATTTCTGACTGTGAGCATTTTACTGGTGGAGGGAGGAATGAAACATGGTTGGCATGACCCAAGAGAGCTAAAGGTCACACTGCTAGACAGTAGTGTGTTGGGGAGAGCAAAAACTATGTGAAAATTCAGTTGCTGGTCTGATAGAGCAAACTGAGATGAAGGCGCATGTGTATGAACATTACTCTGATTCTTGCCTGGATGAAATTGCCTTTAGTTTGAAATAGTTTACTGGTATGTAGATTGGAATAGTTCTAATGTGTATGTAACCTTACTACTTTTATTTAAAAAAAAAAAATCTGGATTTAGAGTGAAATTAAATATACAGCCAATGCCTTGCAGGCAAGCATGTAATAAAACTGAAGCAATTTGGAGGGAGAACTGACTAGAGCAGTGATTTGCCAGAACACTGGTTGCTCTCCTCCAACTCCAAACAAAACAGCCGTATAGTTAGGCAATGCTAGGTCTTTGACAGTGCGACATTGGAGATTGGTGCATAAAAGAATACAGCACACAGACAATTTAATTGCATATTATGTAGACAGGAATATATTAATAGCCATTTTGACTTTTGAGCATATCAAAACACAGGCAGCCTTTGAATAGAAGTGAAGAATTTGGTTAGGCAACTATTAAAACTATTTTGGACATGAGGAGAAATTTCTTTACTGAAAGAGTGGTTAAACATTGGAACAGGCTGCCCAGGGAAGTGGTTGAGTCCCCATCCCTGGAAGTATTTAAAAGACGCGTAGATGAGGCGCTTAGGGACATGGTTTAGTGGGCATGGTGGTGTTGGGTTGATGGTTGGACTCGATGATCTTGGAGGTCTTTTCCAACTTTAATGATTCTATGATTCTAAAAGAATGTTCAGAAAAAACTTTACTTTCTGTTTTTTTTGTTGATAAATTCTCTATTCTGTTTTATACCTGTAGGTTCATTTTTTACTGGCCAGAGTTGCAGAAATAATGAGGAGGTGACACTTATACGTAAAGCTGATCTAGAGAACCACAACAAAGATGGAGGATTCTGGACGGTGATTGATGGGAAAGTGTATGATATAAAGGACTTCCAAACCCAGTCTTTAACTGGCAGTAGTATACTTGGTGAGAATCAGCATCTGAATTAAAGACACAAATTACTTCTGTTTCAAAACTAGATGGCATAAACAGGTTTTTAGATATTATACTGACTACCTCATTTCTTTCATTAGCTCAGTTTGCAGGTGAGGACCCAGTTGTTGCTTTGGAAGCTGCTTTGCAATTTGAGGACACGCGGGAGTCAATGCATGCCTTCTGTGTTGGCCAGTATATGGAGGTAAAAATGTTCTATATTAATGGATACACAGTTTCTAAAGTGAAGTATTGCTTTGCTTTCAAAATTCTTGCTGGATCTCAGTTCTAGCTTTCAACTCCTATTTCTTTTAATTAGCCTGACCAGGAGGTGATTACAACACCGGATCTCAGTACTTTGTCATCACCTCTAATAGACACAGAAAGGAATTTGGGTCTTCTCCTTGGACTGCACGCTTCCTACCTGGCAATGAGCACACCACTTTCTCCTCTGGAAATTGAATGTGCCAGTAAGCAGAACTTCATTTTGAGCTTAAATAAGTGATAAATACTTGTCAAAGCATGCAAGAAAAAGACACAGGCCAAATAAATTAACTGGAAATCTAGCACCTCTTTAGTTTTGCTGTCTTCTGAAGAAGTTCTTTATCCTTAACATTAATTTCCACACTCATCAAGGTCCAATAATTTAGCAAGATTTGAATGGAAATTAGATAATTTTGAACAGTTAAATATCCAGAATTTTGTAATATACAAGATAGAGAGAATATTGGAAGAGAAAGGAGACTCTGTATAGCACAGTTAATCTCACTAATTTGTGTTCAATTAAGAGTGCCTGAAGCATCTGGTGTGGGATTCTATCTTGTGGGATATCTTAATTTGGTGAATAGAGGGTATAATTCAGTATTAATCACAGAAAAATAGTTAAGGCCCTATTACCTCTGAACAGGTGATGGCTGCCCTGTAACTTAATTGTTTCTTATTTGCAGAACCCTTTTTTTTTTCTCTGAAAAAGTTTCAGCAAATGGAAGAGCTGCTAAACCTTGTTTGAAGCTGTATATGCATTTTATTTGAGGGAATTGTTGAGTCTTGATAGCTTAATCTTTCTTCAGAATATACATTTGTGTTTTCTTTCTTTTAGAATGGTTGAAGTCATCTATCTTTTCTGGAGGCTTGCAAACTAGTCAAATTCATTACAGTTACAATGAGGAAAAAGATGAAGACCATTGCAGTTCACCTGGTAATACTACCCCAAATAAATCAAAACTATATACACATCGATTATCTTTGAGTGACCATTCACAACCTTTTCTCCAAGCTATTGCGGATAATAATATTCAGGATCACACTGTGAAGGTAAGCCCTCAGTAGTTCTGTTCATAAAAAATGTTGCTGAAGGGTGACAGTGGTGGCCTGAAACAGTTTTGTTGGTGAAAATTCTCCAAAAGTTATAACAAAACAATCAAAAAAGTTATTTCAGAATTACTTTTTGTGAAAGGAGTGGTTGAGTACTACTAATGGATAAGATTTGCATATTTCACTTAATGTCATAACAGTACAGTTTTTGTCTTTTGAATTTTTGAGTGGGAAAACTAAAAAATTTAAATGTATCCTTACCAAAAAAATTAATAATGCATTACTTTCCATGTCAAGTTTTAGTAGTATTGACAGACCCTGCTCACCTCCAGTTGAACTAAGATGGCGTTTTCTTTGTCAAAGTGCAAATGTATTTTGTGTGTCAGGTGCACGTATGCCTTTGTCTTAAAGTCCCTTTGTGCCTTGGGGTTCAGGTTTCACCTGGCGGGAATCTTGGATATTATGAAAACCCCTAAGATTTACATTGAAGGTATTACAGAAGACAGTGATCAGATTTTCTAACCCTTTGACTTCAGCTCCTTTATCAAAAAACCCCAAATAAGTCCTTGGGAGGATAGGATAGCAGTAATGACGAGTTAGGAGAAGACAATTCAAAATCGTGTTAGGTGACCTGGCTATCTCAGGAAGAGATAAAAGCAGTAGTAGCTCTGTTCCTTGAGCCATGTTGCTCTTCATACGAGGAGAATGATACAGGGTATTCTTTGTCGTATTGGGTTGTAATTGCTGTGTATTAAATAGTGCATACTGCGTGGTGTATCTCACTTCCGAATGTTATGTCAGATTGTGGAGGTTATTCAGTGTTATTTAAATGCTGGCTGCAGTATTTCGGGTCCTTTCATTGTATTTAAAAACAAAGTTAAATAGAGGCTGTTGTGTGTTTTTGTAGGACTTCTTGTGTCAAATAGAGAGATACTGTAAACAGTGTCACTTAACAACACCAATCACATTCCCTCCTGAGCATCCTGTGGAAGAAGTAGGACGTTTGTTGTTATGCTGTCTTCTGAAGCATGAAGATTTGGGTAGGTAGCTTGTGGTATAGCTGTCCCAGAATACATTTTGGACCGGTTTAAACTCTGCTATGGATGATTTTGGAAATCCGTATTCAGAGATTGTCTTTTCCCATTAAGGTCACGTAGCGCTGTCTCTTGTTCATCCTGGTACCCTTGGAGTTGACCAGGTGAAGCACAAAGCCTTACCAAAATCTGTAGTGGATGTGTGTCGTGTTGTCTACCAAGCAAAATGCTCACTGATTAAGGTAAGCCTCTTACCTGCTGAAGTTTAGATTATTTTTATTTTGAGGTGTTTTATTAGAAAGTTATATATTGTTCATTTTATTGTGTATTAAACAGTAACCTAATCTTCCAATGCCTTTTCTAGACCCATCAAGAACAAGGACGTTCTTACAAGGAAGTTTGTGCTCCTGTCATTGAACGTTTGAGATTCTTATTCAATGAACTACGTCCTGCAGTTTGCAATGATCTATCTATAATGTCTAAATTTAAACTTCTGAGTTCCTTGCCCCGATGGCGGAGGGTAGCTCAGAAAATAATTAGAGAAAAAAGGAAAAAAAGAGGTAAGGGAACATTAATGTTGTATTTTCTTTGAAACAATGAAAATCAATCTCATTCCAAGGTTTGCTGCTCTATATTTGAGACTCTTGTTAGCTAAAGCTTCAAAGCCATTTGCTTTCTGCTGCATTTTCATGAAGTTTTCTAAATCAATGGTGATATGTCAGTTCCTACAGCAAAAACAGGCAGACAAGAGAGTCAAGTTTAGGTGAGACATGCTTCTTTGTGTTCCAGCACAATTAAAAATGATCCATCAATATCAGTCCCTCTGAACTGGTTTTAGTAAAGTTTAACTAGAAGTGGCATCTTATTAAAAACCATGTTTTATTAAAACAGTGTAGTCAAAGAACTGTTTAACTGGAAATAAGTTAATGTGGCGAACAAACATCGAAGTGCTTTTGAAATTGGTCTTTAAAGATAAAAGCATATTGCAGACATTACCAGAGCTAATTTGATAATAGTTGGACATAGAGTTCACCAAGAGTACATTTCCTTTTTATTACAGGCCGATCTTAAGCATTCTGTATGCTTAGGTTATCATGCAAACCTAAAAATCTGACACTGAAAAAAATTATTCTTTCATGTAATCTGATAACGTTTTAATTTCTAGTGCCAAAAAAATCTGAATCTGCTGATGTGGAAGAATCCAAAATTGGAAACGAAGAGAGTGATTTAGAAGAATCCTGTATGGTACCTCACAGTCCTGTACCTATAGATAAAAGGCCCATACCAATCAAATCACCCAAGGTAGGATATCAGATTTTGAATCAACCTTGTGAATAAAAATAACAAGAGGAAAAAATATTTGCTAAAGCAAATAGATAAATATATAATTAAGTATGGCGCATTGTTTTAGTGAAACCTGGAATAATTCTTAAAAAAAAGCTTGTGTACTGCATATTTAGAATATGTAAAGATAACCTTCTCTAATTTTTAGGTTATTGATAATATTAGAAGTGTTCAGATAAAGCTTCATTTCAAAATAAAAGGTTGTGATGGGTTACGTCCTCTTTTTTGAATATTAATGCATTTGAGATTTTATGTAGCAGTTGTAAACAAGATAATGAGTTACAAATAATACTAAGCTCTTTCCTGGCTTTGAAGAAGTTTCCTTTTTTTCCCCCCCTCCTAGTATTTCAAATTTGGTCATGTTTTTACATGCAATAACTTATATTTTCAGTAATTGAAAACTTGTTTTAACATGCTACCTTCCTGTTTTGCAGGATAAGTGGCAGCCACTTCTGAGTACAGTTACAGGTGTCCACAAATACAAATGGCTGAAGCAAAATGTCCAAGGCTTGTATCCACAGTCTGCCCTCCTTAACACCATTGTTGAATTTGCACTTAAAGAAGAGCCGGTGGATGTAGAAAAAATGAGAAAATGTTTATTAAAACAGGTAAAATGGATGAAAACGGGCTTGCATGTATTAGCAGTTTACATAAGTATGACAATTTTTTTTTTTCTCTTTTGCAGTTGGAAAGAGCAGAAGTTCGTCTGGAAGGAATAGATACTATTCTGAAATTGGCAGCAAAAAATTTTTTGCTCCCATCTGTGCAGTATGCAATGTTCTGTGGATGGCAGAGGCTTATTCCAGAAGGAGCCAATATAGGGTAAAACTTTTTGTTGTTTGTGCTTTCACAATTCTTCAGTAAAAAACCCCTACTTACTTTTGTTGTTGTTTTTCTATGAAGGGAACCTCTTACCGACTGCTTGAAGGATGTTGATCTGATCCCACCATTTAACAGAATGCTTCTAGAAGTAACTTTTGGAAAGTTGTATGCGTGGGCTATACAGAATGTCCGGAACATCTTGCTAGATGCTAATGCAAAATTTAAAGAACTAGGTGAATCTCATTTTGTTGCTGTTGGCTCTAGAGAAAACTGTTTTAAATGAATATTGTTGCATTTTTTAAGTTCACAATAATTGGGATCCTAAAATCAGTTCCCTTGGTTTGTGCTGAGAAATACTTTGACTTTCTGTCCATCCATGTGTTGTTCCACTTCCCGCCCCGTTCCCTCTTAACTCGTTTGTCAGTGTTTAAGAGAATGTTACTGGTATGCCAGCAACAGGTCATTGATTACTCATTAGTAACATTTTACCATTAAGATTAAATTATAAAAACTTTCTTGGAACTTCAGCTTGTAAGTTCTTAAAGCCAAGCAGGGAATAAAAAATATTTTAAATGATCAAACAAATCTATAATGTATTTTATTGTAGCTCCCAAATGTCAACTGACTTTGTTTTTTATATTACTTTTGAATTAGGTGTGCAGCCTGTTCCTCTACAGACAATTACTAACGAGAACCCAGCAGGACCAAGTCTTGGGACTATTCCACAAGCACGTTTTCTGCTGGTTATGCTCAACATGTTGACGCTGCAGCATGGTGCTAATACCTTGAGCCTCCTCCTTAATTCTGGCATGCTAGCATTGACACAAACAACGCTGCGACTGATAGGTACAAGATCTTCTTATTTTTTGTTTGGAAGAAAGCACATGTTTTATAAACCTCCTGTATTTTTTTAGGTGTTGCTGTACCCAAACTACAGTATGGCTTTGCTGCTTAAAGACTTAGTACTTAATGCTGTTTACTTTTACCCTGATACAAAAACCAGATCTGTAAGCACGACTGAGAAGGAAGTTAGTTTGACTATAGCCTTTATTCAGTCATGATTTTTTTTCTCCTAAGCCTTTGCTTTGGCCATCCTTTGCTAGAATTTAGGAGTGATAGTGTAGTTTTGGTGGAAACGTTACAAATAAATTAAAAATGGAAAATTTAAAATGAAAACATTAAAAACTGCCTACTCCCTACTCATTCAGTTTCATTTGTTCTACCTATTAAAACCATTTCCAGTCTGCATATTTAAGCGTGAAGCTTCCTTTGTTCTGTTATAAGTTCTGTGGTCTTTTTTGCCATGATTCAAGTTCTCCTCCTTTTTCTTTCTTGGTTTTCTTACATAATAGCAAATATTTGTTCTCGTAACTTGTACTTAACTGGAGTGCTCATAAGACATTCTTCCAAAAAAATTCTGTTGTTAGAACCATTTAGCCGCTGGACTCGTTATTATAATGTCTCTATTATTTGTCACTTATTTTTGTTCAAAATTAGGTATTTAAGGTCCTGTGCGTTCAAAACCATTATATCCTAGTTTCCTAAAAGCTCATCTGACTGCATCACCTGTTAAGTCAGTTTTCCTATTTGTTACTGCTTTTATATTGCAAACCTTATGTGCCTTAAAGTTTAAGTGTGACAAAGGTATGTATAAAAACTGGTAGCTGGTTTTAAATTTTGTCATGTTTTTTCCTCTTTAGGACCTAGTTCTGACAACATTGAAGAAGATATGATTGCCTCTTCTCGTGGAGCTTCTGCCACAGTCCTAGAAGAGTCGAGAAAGGAAACTACACCTGTTCAGCTCCCTGTTTCTGGACCGGAGCTGGCAGCCATGATGAAAATTGGTACCAGAGTGGTGAGAGGGGTAGACTGGAAATGGGGTGATCAGGTACAACTTCTTTCATACAGGTTTGAGTGTGTTAAAATCTAAAGTCTCTAGTCAGTGGACTGTCTGTGAATTTTATGTTCAAACTTTAAAGGTAATTTTACATTTCAAAGACTTGGAGAATTAACATAAAATATATTAATTTTTTGTTTAATTTCATTTTTGGAGATGAAAATTCTTTTTTAGTTAGACTGTTCTGATTCATGATTTAACAGGAAACTGGATCACTTGTTTGCTACAATATTATGCACTTCCAACTAGGTGCGTATGGCACTTATGTAGTATGTAGTAAAATAGATCTAAACATGAGTGTTGCTGCAGTTTACTGGGGTAATTTCTTTTGAAGATTGTGAAACACTTTCCAACTTTATGCTGGATTTTGAAACGTTATTGAAGGTTAGGAGCAAATAAGAGCAATAGCATTATTACTTTATGAACTTTGGGTACGAATTAGTGTTGTCGATTTGTGTAACTTGAGCCTCTCTCTTCTGTCAGGATGGACCCCCTCCAGGTTTGGGTCGTGTGATTGGAGAATTGGGAGAAGATGGCTGGATTAGAGTGCAGTGGGACACCGGAAGCACAAATTCTTACAGAATGGGGAAGGAGGGAAAATATGATCTCAAACTAGCTGAGCCACCGCCGGCAACGCAGCCCACAACAGAGGATTCAGACACTGAGGATGATTCTGGTAAAAAAAGCAATTTTTTTATAAACATTGAATTCCAAAATTGATGTCTTAAAATATGAAAAAGCTTCTTTCACAGGAGAAAATGCTTCATCAAAGAAGATTAATAGGTGTACATTTCAGACCAGAATCTTTCTCATGGTAAAGCTATCTTAAGAAAGGAGGATAGAAAGGATGGTATCACATTTGTTGCATATTCATGGGCCAAAGAAAACAGTATTATCCAACTGAAATAGTTCCAATTACAGATACCAGGAGGTATACATTTTAACATAAGTTAATGCCATTCTGAAGTGTGTTTTTCATATGGCCTAATTATATATCTAGTCACACTGCTTCCCTATTCTTGGCACTGCATTTGTAATTTCTTTTAAGTTGTGTACTGCTAGAGAATAACCTGAAAATATCTGCACAAAATACCTGATTTATATTTTGCTCTTGCAGTTGGAAATAAGGAATCTTCTTCATGTCAAATCATCTTACAGAAAATATTTACAACGAATTTCTCACATCGTGTTTGTTTCAGAACTCTTTGTGAAATAGATTAACTCAATATTAATGTATTCCTTTGCCTTTCGTGTCTCCCTTCAGAAGGAGAACAAGTTGAAAGGAATCTCCACCCTACTTCCATGATGCTGACAAGTACCGTGAACCTGTTGCAGACACTGTGTCTCTCTGCTGGCGTCCATGCTGAAGTCATGCAAAGTGATGCTACTAGGACTTTGTGTGGTCTACTCCGTATGCTCGTGGAGAGTGGAACAATGGATAAATCAGGTATATTATATAGAAACAGTCTGATTCAGCTATGTCTTTCTGTTTTGTGCTTTGTTGTCTTGTACCTTTGTAAATCTTTTGTTACTAGTTTTTAATCCTTTAAGGCCAAAGACTAGAAAATGCATTTTCAGAGCTTTTAAAATCTTAATTGTTAGCAAAAGCAACATAAGTGATCTTGAGCATTCTTAGAACATAAGCAGTAAAAGCAGGAGAAATGCATGAGATGTGGAACATCAGGATGTGTATGGTTGGCTTACACAATTAATTTCTTAGCAGTCTTTTTCTGTTTGGGGAGAATGGTATGACTGGGTATGTCATGTTCATTTCCATAGTTTCTTTGTAATTTCAGAAGTAATGCTGTTAACTACTTTGAAATGAGGAAACAGTATAAGGATGAGAATTGTTTTAAAGGCATATTTAATAAAATTAATTACAGGCTCTAAAATTGAAGTTAATAGTTCATGTAAAAACAGTGGAGTAGCTCAGTGTTATGACTTGTCCAAAAAAGCCCTGTGTAGCATATAGAGGATGATGTAGCTGGCGGAAAAGTCAACTGTTATATGTATATATCTTTTTGTTTTTAGCTTCCTTGCCAAATAAATTAGTTTATAAAGAACAGCATAGGAGTTGGTGCACGTTGGGATTCATTCGAAGTATAGCACTCATGCCTCAGATGTGCAGCACTCTTAGTACATCTCAGTGGATAACTTTGCTAATGAAAATTGTTGAGGGGCATGAATCTTTCACTGCTGCTTCACTACAGAGACAGGTAATGTGTGTATTTCCAAATTACTTTGATAGGCAATGAATTTAGTAGACTTTAGTTGTCTTTAAAAAAAAGTGTGTTTTAAAAAACAGATGGGAAATGTCCTTAAATCAGTTTTTAATTAATTGGAAAAAAGATAACGTGTCGTCTTACATTTAGGATTCATTGTGTTAAATATACATCTGTAAGTTTTTGAGCCTTCAGGGCACTACGGACTCCCTTGTTCTGTTGAAAGCCTGAAAGTTTTGTACAGGTGAGAGGCCAAAACAGCGTTCTAAAAATGTATTCCAGAAACTCCCATATAATGTTTCCTAGAAGTTGAATAAAGGAAAGAATAACAAAAAGATGGTTAGGAAAAATGTTCAATTGAATTTTAAAGTTATCAAACTGTGTATTATCTACTGTCCCCCCTTCCATAGTATACTGTTGTTATTGTTTTAATTACAGTCTCTCTTAAGAAGCTGCATCTGTGTATCTTATTTTGGTATTGTATTTCCCTTGTCCCCTTTCCCTTCTTTTTTCCTCTTTTTTTCTTTCTTTTTTCCCTCTTTTTTCTTTCTTTTTTTCCCTCTTTTTTCTTTCTTTTTTTTCCTCTTTTTTCTTTCTTTCCCCCCCCCTTTTCCCCCCTTTTTCCCCTCCCTCTTCCCCCCCTTTTCCCCCTTTTTCCCCCCCCCCAGCCGTTATTTCCCCAGAAAAATCTCCCTTGCTTATCCCAGCGCCCACAGCAGCCCCGGGCGGCTTCGCAT